AGATGAAGCTCCAGTCACGAGATGTAGAATTCACAAAGGTAAGAAACGGAAAATATACAAATATGGGACGATAATGATTTACCCCGCCTGCAGATAAGCGGATGTAGCTGCCGTTTACACACCCTTGCTCTTGTTTAATCGACCAACCAGTGAATTGCCCGCATCCAGTCAACGGTTACCTGCAGCTCACTGAGCCTTACCTTTCTTTACCTTTCCAATACCATTCATTACCTTCTTATACTTTCCACCTTGGAAATATCAAGTCTCTCTATCCTATCTTATCTGAAGTCATTCATATTTCTCCCACATTTGATGCTTTCTTCTCTCTGAATCTTCTCGCCGGTCTTGTGATATTCTCTTGACTTGATAATTGTTTCCATCTCCACGGTGGTGACATTCATCAAGAGGCGATGGAGGTATTCGTGAGAAACGTGCCAATTCATACTGGAGAGCACGATCTTCGCAATTTTCTCAGGCCCAAGCTGAATGCTCTTGCAATTCGTGCATTTCATTGTTACACTGCGCGAAGCATAGACTATGCGAAAATCACCTTTCGGACGGCTACAGATGGAGAAAAATTTCTACGCAAGTTTGGTGAACGGAGACCAAACAATAGACAACGAAATCCGAAAGCTACTCCGGCAAAGCTTGTTTATCACAGTACGCCGATTTATTGTGAGAAGAGTAAATCAGCTGCCAATCCATATTTGCTCCGATGCTTGGAAAAGGTAGAGAAAGAACGTGTTGAGAATTCCTATCTTAATCATGGCCCACCAGTTGCTAACACTTCGTTTGAATGCTCTACAATCATGTGTGGCAATTGGAATTATGTTGGAGAGAATTTGGTCTTCATGCCGGAGTTGATATGGCAAAGTAGGATCATTGTTCATTTCAAGGAGAGAGCAATGATATTGGTTCTGAATAACGGATCAAGGATGGTAATTCGGTATGATACAATTGAACTTCTCACAACTGATGACGGTCATTACCCAGGAATTACTGCGACGCTTCATCAATCCCCTCATTTCTTCAATCCGCCCCCCAAAGACCTCCTTGAGATGATCGATATGTTTGGTAATGTAAACCTCAGAAACGGCAGCAGGCCCCACACAAAAAGGTCTCGAGTCGCTGGTTTTGGTGATAAGCACAAGGAAATTGCGGGGAGCTCTCATGTGTATCGCTGTACATTCAAAGACACAAACGGATTCTCATCGGTTATTGAGCAAAAGTTGGAGACATTGAAGAATGCTCGAGGCATTCCTCCAATGATTCATCATTCTGCTTCAATCATTAGTCCTAGAGAATCTCATATTATCGGACTCAGGAAACTCCATGAAGCTTTAGAGAGTTTCAATAACGAGCTACCATTCCCATTGACATTTCAAGTCCAAAAGCTAGCCCAGAACGGATATTTGTCTCCTCGCAAAATAATCGATCTTCTACCAGCCTTCACTTCAATGTTTGAAAGAACTACTCTTCCAATTTGCGTCACGACCATGAGGAGGTTATTTTTGCAAATCCCATACCCTGGACCCAATGTCAAAGCGGAAGATTTTGACGAGAACGCCATCATTGAACTACTTTTGGATATTGAGAAAACCTCGACTCAAGAGGCCCAGTATGCCGAAGGATTTGGGGGCACAGCCTCTCAGAATACTGCTTTGATCCATCGGGTTACCATTACTCCCGCCGGGATGTATCTAGATGGTCCTGAGTCTGAGAGTAATAATCGCATACTCCGTAAATATGCTGGTGAGTCTCATTATACTTCTCTCCTATCCTCTTCCTCCCATTTGATTTGAATCGTAACCCCTTTCGAATCCTACAATACTATTCTCACATACTGACGACCGAGTTTCTATCATTAGGCAGCCATAGTAACTTTGTACGTGTGACCTTCTGCGATGAAGATGGCGGAAGAATTCAATATGCATCAAATGTCTCTAACGACGAGATTTTCGACGGAGTTTTCAAGAACGTTCTACAAAATGGTTTCTCAATTGGAAAACAGAAATATGAGTACCTAGGCTCTTCACATTCTTCTCTTCGTACACAATCTTGTTGGTTTGTGGCACCTTTCACACAAAACAATGTATATCATGATGCCCAGCGTATTATCCGCGACTTAGGCCAGTTCGGAAATATTCGCTCCCCGGCCAAATGTGCGGCACGAATCGGACAGGCATTCTCTGATACACCAATTACTCTCACTCTTGATGAAACTGTCACAATAGAAAAAGTTGATGACGTCGAACGAAATGGCAGATTCTTCAGTGATGGAGTGGGCACAATGTCGGAGTTATTGATGCACAAGATATGGGATAAATTACCGAATAAACACCGTGTGAAGCCGACTTGTTTCCAAATTCGCTATCAAGGTTAGTGTGACCATCTTATGACTCTACGATATAGTTGTTCTTGAACTCAGCTTACCAATAATGACAGGCGCCAAAGGAATGATTTCTCTGGACAGTCGTCTCCCAGGCGTCCAGTTACGACTCAGAGATTCTATGATAAAGTTCGAAGGATCGAGTTCGAATGATCTTGAAATATGCGGCGGTGCATACAAACCCCTCCCTATGTATCTTAATCGACAATTCATTAAAATTCTGGAAGACTTAGGAGTGCAGCCTGAATACTTCATGAGGCTCCAAGCAAAGGAAATCTCACGAATGAGAGCAATCACAGCCAATGCATACAACGCATCGACATTTCTTCAAAGCAAAAGAGTCGGAGATGTTGTTCTTCTCCCACACCTTATTGACCATTGTTCTGCTTTAGGTTTGGACTTCAGAAATGATTTATTTTTACGGGATGTTCTCGAAATGACAGTCTTGATTGAGCTTCGTACTTTGAAGCACAAGGCCAGAATACCCGTCGAGAAGGGTTATCATCTACATGGTATCATGGACGAGACTGGAATTCTAGAGGAAGGCGAGATTTATTGTTGTTGGCTTGAGGATGGAAGACGCACAACTCTAGTCGGATCGAATGTTGTTATCACTCGTGCTCCTGCCCTTCATCCTGGAGACATTCAATGGGCGACTGCTGTGGATGTTCCAGCTGATTCTCCGTTAAAGAAACTTTACAACTGCGTTTGCTTCAGTCAGAAAGGTCCTCGGGATCTACCAAGTCAGTTATCAGGTGGAGACTTAGATGGAGATCTCTATTATGTCATGTTTGATCCAGATATGAAATTAAAGAGGACTGTAAGGCCCGCAGACTACCCACGATTGCCACCTCTAGACATCGGCCGCTCAGTCACACAACCAGACATGGCAGATTTTTTCCTGACTTTCATGAAGACGGACCAACTTGGTGTTATATCCAATAGACATCAAGTGTATGCAGACCAAGATGTGATGGGAACCGAGTGTTCTAATTGCCTTAAATTGGCGGAGCTTTGCTCGACGGCAGTTGACTATTCCAAAACTGGAATTCCGGTATGATATTTTTTCCCCAACAGACCGAGATTCTTCACTAACTTTTAAATTCCTTTAGCCTAATCTTGGTGACCCAAGTGTCCCCAAGAGTACCCTCTGGCGTCCTGACTTTATGGCTCCAGGTCCTCATATCAAAATCTCCCATCGGCCTGATGATCGTCTGGAATTTGTGAAAGAGTATGTTCCAATTGAGGCAATGGACGAAGAGGATGAAATCACGAATATCAAGTACTATGAAAGTAAAAAAGTTTGTGGGCGCCTTTACCGTGCGATTGATGAGCGAAAAGTCTTTGAGGATATTCAAAAGCTGAACGTACAAGCTAATGATAGTCCTGATGTCATGCAGCACATGTGGGAGTTCGTTAAATCTCGTTCCCAGGGAATTCAATGGCAACATTTGCGCGAAGATGCCCTCGAGATTCAAGAAATGTAAGTTCTCACAAGGTGTCAAAATAGTCCAGACTGTGGTCCGATGATGAAGGGCTTTGATTTTTGGATTTGTTTAGAACATTCAAACAATTCGAATACCTGAATTAGCTCAATTGTTGAGTCACCAAAAATTGGAGCCTCAAAACCAGTCCGCTAGTCTCGACTATTGAACAGCCCATATTCTCATGTTTCCCTTTTCTTTTCTATGATTATTCCAGCTAACGAAAATACAGTTATGAGAACAACATGCTAGATATAATGCATGAGTACAGTGAACACCCAACTCGTCCCATCAGCGAGCGCGAGGTATTCGTTGGTAACATTCTCGGAAAAGTTGGATCTGTAAGCAAAAAGCAAAGAGAGCTGTGCACCAGCATGAAAGAGAAATATGACGAAATCGCGGCATTCATTGTCAATTGCATCATCAAGGTCAATGATGAGTATTCGGATGAGGCTCTCGAGCGAAGCATTGCTTGTTTTGCAGTTTCTTTGGATGATAGAAAGAGGAAGGGCGCTCGAGACGAGCCTCTAAAGAGCTTCAGATATTTAGCTGCGGGTGTGTGCTTGAGGGAAATGGAGAGGGTACCTGGTCTTCTTCCGAATAGTTGGCAGGGATAGAAATTGGTGATTCATTGTTCGTGAGAACTTGATACAGAGTTTTTTCTTTGTCAAGGATAAGCTATTATTGCATCAGACTTGATGGAGATGAGGGGATGGATGGAAATACGGGCTTCTTATGACTTTAATGGCGGAGCTTGATGGGCTTCTAATGATTCGATGTCTCACGGTTTCATTTTCTTTTCCAATGGTTTCTGTTTAGATTTCGCTGGTCTCTTATTTCATGGTAAAATTCAGCTATCTAGATAGAGAGCTTTAGAAATTCCCAGAAAGTTCAATAAACCCATGATACACAATGGCGCGAGTGACTTGCATAACACTTGACGGCCCTCTAGACCGTGTATTCGATAGTCCAGACTACAGTCCAACAATTGAAGTCTCTTGAATGTTGAAACCAATCGCATATAGAAATTTATATTCTTTTTGAATCGATGTGAAATAACAAATTGATCAAACTGACAGTAATTTTCTTACTTGAATTAAAACCTTCATCTTAGATTTGATAAAACCATGGTCCACCTTCTAGAGGGACGGAATCCCACATGATGAAAATTAGAATACAAAGCAAATAATTACCCCTTTTCCCAGTTTCGTACACAAGATTGATAGTTCATAACCTCATTTCTTTCCCATTCTTCTTTTCTATAATTCTGATTCCTAGAGTAGCAGGACACTTTATATTTCTCTGCTCTTTCCTGCGGAGGTGTTTTTTTGTAAGAGAAGTCTTAAGGGTGGTATATACGTCTTTCCATACCCACTCATCCGATCTTCCGACTTTTCTCGCGCTCGATGTATCCTATATCTCGTCTTCAGAGGTGCAATTACAGATCTGGGATTGTCCATGCATTGTTTCCTGGTGATTCGTTGACGTGAGTACTGACGTAGTGTGTTTGCCACAAAGCAGATATGATTAGCCATTTCGGCTCACAGTAATCATTTCATGGTAGGAAATCTAATGAAAAATTCCAACACGATTCTTCAATTCCATCCACAAGAGTACTGGTCGTCAAGCATGCCACGAACTTCACACTAAGAAGACGCATCCAACGCTTTAAACGCAGCATACGTCTGAGCGACGCCCACAAAAAAAGATGCCAGAGCGAGAAAGACAGTCAACAATCCAAAGATAATAACACCCATAAACGTATAATAGTTAAGCGCATCCCTAGAATCTCGTAGTAATTGTCGCAAACCATGTGGTCTTTGGTGATCCATATACTGTCTCAGATCTCTCACACGGTCTTCGAACATGCCGAAATTGGAGTAGGCAATTGTGCTCTTGTCTTGTTTTGATTTGATGATTCCTTGGAGATTCTCCCATCGTGACTCGTAGTACGATTGCACTCTGCCGGTCGCTGAATCGTCTTCTATCCATGGCATGTGGTATTCTTTGAGGGTTTGAATATCTGTATGTATTGGATTTCGGTCTTCGTCCATAATGGTCTCGTACTCATGCTTGAGCTTTTCCCTAACCCGCGATTTGTTCTTGGAGTTCTCGCCTAGAGTTGTGATTGAGAAGAGAATGGCCCATGTCTTTTCGATATCGGCCTTTAGCTCTTTCAAGATTGAAAGCTCTCGTGGCTGACGGTATATACTAGACCAACGGACGCTTTCAAGTCATTAGTATGATGCCGAACAATGAAAGATAATACAACTAACCAGTCGTTCTGAAAAATACTTAACATCCCCCAGACGAAGGGTCGTAGTCGTGCAATTTTCAAACATTTATTTTCATGGTTCAGGAGGAGATGTTCCTCGAAAATATCTGTCCAGACTATTCGAAGATCCCCAATAGTCTGCAAAGACCCAATGTTCAGATCGTCGATACGTCCAGAGCTAGTGGTTGGGCTTTCCAATAGAACTGGAGCATTCGAAGATTTTGATACAGATAGAATTGATACAACAAGTTCCGGTCCCTGAAAAGCAAGAATTTGTTCCAAGTTGGCACCCCCGCAAGCTTCTCTCAATAAATCCATAGGGGACCATAGTATCTGGCGGCTGTTGAGACCCAGGTCCGAATTATCTTCCATCAAACAATCATTGTATATATTCAGTGATATTGCAACAAGAATTATATGAAAGCTATAGTCCTGCCTCATTTCTTTTTGGAAATGAATGCTATTTGGATTCGAGGGGAAATCTTCGGGTTGGCGTAATACTCCGCTCGTGTAGCAACGCTCGAGAATAGCCCCAATTGTTGAAGTAGTAGAATATCTCCTTTCAATTGACGACTTGATGATGCAAATTAAAATCTTTACCAGAATTGCTGCTCGAGCGTCTGGATTATCAGTCCCAATTTCGAGCAGCCAGGGTATCATTTCTTTGTCGCACTCATTAAGTATTCTTTTCCAAAACCATCCTCTTCGCACTATCTCTGAAGCAGTTACAGATCTTTCTCCGTATCCAAAGAAGATCCTGAAGTGATTTTCCCAAATGGCCTCGAAATGTACACGATTGAATCTATCAAAGGGCTGCCCAAGATGATCCAGATGAATCACCTGATTACGGTTCACTTCAACCTTCCGAACTGGCCAGGGGTTCGCGCAAGCCCGAGTTAAGAATTCATGTAGGTACTTCGGGCGATTCAGTGGGCGTGGAACTTCCGAACGTGCTTCTGGGTATTATTCATTAGCACCTAATTTTGATTTAGTTGAAGAGTGGGATTTCGAACGGTAAGAGCGAATCACAGGAAAGCCTTCTGGAGCCGGAGCTGCGTTATACTCTAGGTCAATTTCACGAATGTTCGTCTTCCTTCTGCTTTCTTTCAGTACCTGTATCCCAAATTCTACCAGTTGCTGTAGCTTTGCGACAGGAACCGTGACTAGCTCTTCGTCTTCACGTTTGGACACGTCTGTCGTATCACGTGCATCTGGCGAGTTCCCATCAATCTGGGGACGGGAACCTGTGGCAGCTAATCCATACAGCGTACTTCGGTCATCTAAAGTAATCATTAGTTCTTATCATAAGAAGACATCGTCGCCAAACATGCCTACCCATGTCTCAATCAATTGGCGAGATCCGCAGTTAATAGTGCCGTTGTGTACATCAGATCGAGCTGCAGAACTATCATGACCATCTCGAGAAAACATTTTTTGAGTTGTTCCATCTTCTATCTTATCATTTTCGACATCTGTCCTTCCGAGATAAGATTGAGCTTCGTCAATGGGATAATTCCGCTTTGTAACGTTGTGCAACTCGTCCAACATTGTGGGGAAGTCGGCAACCTTGAAGTTTGAAGCAAATCTAGATGGCCTTTGATATATAACAGGTGAATAGGAACAAGTTTCCAGCTACGCAACAAGTGAGGTTCAGGAGAATACCCAATGTATACGCGTAAGCTTTCATTGTATCCCAGGCCAATAAGATCCTTCAATCCTTTCGATGCTTCATGATAATAATTCAATCAGGATCTTACCCTTGTTGTAATAGTCGTGTACACGACTTTACTCACGAACCATGACCATCAGTGATCCGGTTCAAACGATAGAATCCGAGAGCAGCATGATCAAAGGAGCCAAGGGTTAGAGGCTGTCTTGTTTGAATGCCCATTTCAAGCAGTCTGAGTCGAGAGGATTTCGTAAAGGGATCTTTTCTAAGATTGATTCTCTGATTCTAAATTAGTCCCTCAAACGGTACCCTAACAGTATTTCGGAGCTTACACGCACATGCTTGGACCCCCAAGCGCTCCTTCCTCAAGGTTAATCAACGGACCGTAAATGCTAAGCCCTGACTAGTTTCCGGATAACTGCTCATTTTTTCCCTTCTCCACGTTATTCCGACCGCTGTGATTCATAATCACGTGACATTGAATTACTTCATATCGAACCTAGATCACTCAACTCCAGTTGAACTCATGTATTTCGATTCCATCGCATAGGAAAGACGAAAAAGGACTTCAAGATAAGATAAGGGCAGCTGTTGAAAGGAAAATGAGAGCAACCAGCCTGTCAACCAGCAAAGAAACATTGATCAAGTCTTAAAGTTGGTGTTGGACTTCGAGAAGTGATGCTTACAATGTGCGTTATATAATGAGATACAAGGCACGATTCTACACGTTATGGTTTGGTTCCCAGCACTTGGTAAGAGTTTATGTACCACTGAAAAGGTCGAAAATCAAGCAGTTGCTCTTCAGTATCTGCAACACAATACCAGTGTCCCAGTATCCCTGTTCTACGAGCATGTATAATTGGTTATTTTGAGTATGTATTGTGGTAAGACATACTCAAGTACTTGATGAAATATACTGCGTCTTTCTTAAAAAGGAATACTCTGAACCTCAAGCAGAAGTGGGTCAAGAGTAAAACACTAGATTCTCATTGCCCTGCGAGGAGTCCCATGAAGTTCCAACGATATCTCGATGGGCTCAGTAAGTCTTATCTCATCATTCTTATATTTAGATTCTGCATATTGGTGTTTCCTCGTTCTACCCGCGTTGTATGTTGTTATATCTCTGCCCAACTAGGCACAAAAAATAACGCATACCAATGCATGCCATTTGCACCTATTTACGCCAAGGCGTTTGAGGTTCATCTCATTCCACATTCATACACAAGTGCAAGGCTTCGATCACATCTCTTTACCGATTCCTTTGTCTCCCAATACGATTAAGACCCTGTGTTGGAACCATATGTATATGCAGTTGCATTCAAGACCTGCACTGTGTATGAATCTGGTCTTGTTTCTTGGGGGAGTGTCCCAGTCTCATATAGTTATGTAGACACATGCGCCGTAATCATACCCACTCAACAAACGAGTCGAGACTTGAAAAATCGCAATTCGCGCACATCTATCATAAGCAGGCTTCAGAGCTGTATGCGCCATTGTCTAAAAACAGTGCAGGCGAATATAAAATGAATTGGCGTGAAACTTACACACCAGATTCACTAGAAGATGGCGACAACATGCGACACGGTACCAAACAAAGTGACACAGTGGGCAAGCTGAGCGGAATCTTGCGCTGCGAAAGCTAGCGATGCACCAAAAGTCAGAATTTAATATGCAGGGCATCAGAACGGCAGACAAGTTCTTGCGGTAGAAGAAAATCCTTCGAGCAGAACCTTCGATGAACCCATTCTTTGATCTCCACCTCGAAATACCAACTTTCAATTCAAAGAAATGCCCAAGTTTGACATTCTCACAAACCCCAATTCACCTCACCTTCACCCACCCCTTCCAACCCATCTTCACCCACCCCATCAAACCTCCCATCAAACCCCCCAATCAAACCCCTCCCTCGCCAAAAAAGTGCCCCACTCCACCCACCTCATTCACTCATCCACCCACCACCCCAAAAACAAGCCCCGACCCACCTGCACCCTCCAAAACAGCAAAACTTCAGCCGCGACGGCTTGCAGTCCCAGTCTACATGTACGATCAAGACAGTCCGAAACTGCCTTGCGAAACCGCACTCTATGCACTGTCCGATCGAAGTACCACAATGCGGAAGAAAGGCGAGATCTCAAACGGCGGGGAGTGAGAAATTCTAACCGCTGCGCCACGAGGCGTGTGGAATGCTTATGTTGGGATGTCGGAATCGGGGGTATATAAAGGTGAGGAGAGGGAGGAGGGTGGGGTATGGTAGTATTTGGGTTGGGCGGTATGAAGGGGTCATGATGATGTAGAGGAGGTTGGGGTGTGAGGAGGTTATGTTGTGTGCGTTGTTTGAGAATTGTTTATAGGTATCTGGGTAGTTATATGAATAGGCTCATCCATGACTCTACGATTTTTTTATCTGTAGGTACTCGTCACTGACTACATTCAAGTGTCCAATCTCTTGAATTGCTCATCTGCATTGAACTACTTTTACATGAGCGCAGCTTACTCTAACTTTATTTAACCACTCATCTAGCATCTCTTTTACTACTTTTCTTCCACTGGAAGGGTTGTCTTCTGCATAACCTCACATACATCAGAATCGAAAAACAGAACATTGCAGGGTGATATATTATTAGCTCTGCCTAACGAAGATCGAGCAAGCTCCTCATTATTCTCGGCCAAGAGTTTCTTTTACAGCGCTCACTCATCAAACATTGGACACTTGATAAATATTGGTGGTGTTATTAATATTATTAGGGTTATTAAGCTATCTGCCAGCAGTTGTAGTTCGAATCTTTTAGAGAAGAGTTAACTCGAAATCTATGCGCATCTAGAGAACTTCGTCACGAAAGTAACTGTAGCAAGACGAAATTCTCCAATCTGCATCCCTTTCTTCCCAGCGATACATCTCCCACCTCAACATTACTGCTAGTATAAATAAGCAGAGTCGATGGATCGAGCGATAATAACAACTGATATTTTACTTCCAAATACCCGTCGCCTTCAATGCAGCTGATGTAACGGATATGAGACAGTTTGTACCATTAGCAGTGCGCCAATAGAACAACTGATTTGTTCTCCGATTTTAAATCAAACCTCTTGAAGCATCGAGTCTTCTTCTCATAGCTAGGACCTCTTTGCATACCATATCGACCCACGCATCAAACCTACTTTCCATTAGTAAGCCGGACAAGGTTTCAAATCTACTCCGCCAAAACGTAAGAAACATACTCAGGAATCCCATCCCCCCAATCAACTTTCTCGTAAACCCCTTTTTCTTCTTCTTCCTTGGCCGTCAAACCTGGTCCTCTCCCAACCTTTCTATCTGCCCTCTCTGTTGCCCCAACTCCCATAAATAAAGCCCGCGGTGTTATTCCCACGCATCTCGCTACAAATTCTCTGAACTTCTGATCTGGCTCTATTGCTTCCATTGCACTAATACCACTCCTCAGATTGTTAGTTCTGGATTCAGTTGTGCCAGATACGGTTGTGCCAGATCCAATTGTGCCACTTTCCATTCGACATTTTCCAGATGTTTGGTATTCAGGATTGATTTTGGTATTGGAAGATGAAAATGGATTGATGTTTGGGCTTGGAGAAAGGGGAGCAAGACTTCTGGCAGGACGTCCTTCCATACGGAGATAGAATTCTTCGCGGGAAATATCGCGTCCCATGGCTCTGACAGTTTGAGCGTGGAGACGGGAGAGAATATCGAGATCGCAGGCATTAGGACCAATGGCACAAAAAGTTGTAGGATCTTGTGTATTTGGTTAGAATGAACTTCTGTTCCACGAGAAAGTCTTAGGGGATATATGCAGAGAGCGGTGCTAGTATTCACTTACGGATATTTGGTGGAAGAACCGGAGAAGGAGCTTCAGCTATTTGGGATATTTTTGGAGAAAAAGTATAGGAACTAGCACGACTTCCATTTCGTTTATCGGAATTGAAAGACATGGTTTCTGATTGTCAGAAATGAGTGTAATATGAGAAAAAGGATCTCTGGAGGGAATCCTTTGTTTCGAATTGATCTTTCTCTTCGAACCTATCGAATACAGTTGATGTTGAGGATAGGAAGATAGAAATTCGTATTGAAGGAAAAGAATTGATATGAAAAGGGAAGGAATCAAAAAAACTCTAAAAGTTAAGGTCCAAATGGACAGATTGGGTGACCTTTTATTCACTTTGTGTCTGTATGCCGATGAAGATGAAGGTGAACGGAAAGTTGAGCAAACATCAAATCAGTAGGTAATGAATGTATAGGAAAAAATTATTGCATGGCATGAGCACTCCAAGCATCGTGAGGCCAGGTAGGTAGTTCTCAGTTTTATTCCAACTTTCTAGGGCGAGAACTAGTTCCTACCATTTGAGATAATAACGAAAAGCTACAGTCGGGAAAGAACATGCAGACGTGAGCGAAGCTTACTCACGTGTTTCTCGACCTTCCTACGCTTTCAAAAACGCCAAAGTGTCTTCATGAAAAAACTCTCTATCGTCTGAGAGGGAGACTAAAAGATCTCTCTTGCCAGTCTACAATATCTCGAGGCAACATGGGATATTGAACGAGAGGCTTGCATAAATAATCATCACTCTTTGTGCATCCAAAGAATAAAAAGCTCGAAAGTAAAATGTAATTTTTATTGGCCTATCAAACTACCCTATTAATGACCTCTTTGCCGTAACCTTTTATTGGCCTCAAATCCAAGGACCACTCTGTAAAACAGCCCTATAATCGGTATCATTTGGACTGGAATAAACAGGTAAGCCTACATGTTCATTCAACCAATCTAATACCGTCTTATGCCACACCAAACTGTTCTCCTGGTTCAAAACCCAATGGTTTTCATCTGGGAAACTCAAAAATTTACTCTCAATTCCCTTTGCCTGGAGAATGTTGAATGCAGCAAGACCTTCCGCGATTGGAAGACGGTAATCCAACTCATTATGGTTAATTAGATGAGGAGTAGACCAGGCATCGGTGTGGTTTGCCGGATTCCAACGTGCGTAATTGTCAAAGTTTTCCCAGAGTGTTCCGTTGAAATCATGTTGCATGAACCAAAGTTCCTCGGAGGAATATTGGGCAAGAGTGGAGAAACACCCGTCGTGTGTGAACAAAGCCTTGAATTTACGACCGAGAGGTTGGCCTTGAATCCAGTTTACCATGTATCCACCATAACTGGCACCCAAAGCGATAGCTCGATCTGTGTCAACGTATGGGAGATTCTCTTCGATATATTCCCAACCTTTGACGAGATCGTTGTATGGTCTACCACCCCACTGGTTTTGAATTCCGTCGGTGAGATTCTGACCAAATCCTGTACTACCGGTAGGGTTGAAGGCTACAACAACATAGCCTTGTTCAGCGAACACGGCCATGTTCCAACGGGTACTCCAAAGATCTTCAGTTGCTCCCTGAGGTCCACCATGAATGTAGAATGCTAGGGGGTATTTTTGACCTTCAACAAATGTACTTGGTTTAATGACCCAGGCGTGGACTAGGTAGTCTCCATCGCCTTGGTAGAAAACATCAGAGATGAAATCACGGGAAAGTCCATACGCTTTGAGACTGTTGAGATTAGCTGAGATAGTGGTGACACCAGATGATGCATTGGTGGCAGCTGAAACGCTGGGGTCAACGGAAGAGAAGACCGAGTTATCGAGATAGCTTGAACTGCTAATAAGTAACTTATCTTTTCCTTGAGGGTGAAGATCTGTTACACCGCCATCTTTGTAAATAATGGATGGGAGGGTTGTGTTTGTAGGATCCGAAGAAAATGTAAACAGTCTAACCCTAGCGAAATCTTCGGCTACTGCATGAATAGACTCTCCATCTTGGCTGTAAAGGAGTGTGCTTGGGCTACGATCCCAAGCTCCCTTTCCATCTTCTGAGGCAAAGAATTCAACAGCAGTCAAATCGGAAGTGACATCTGCTACTTGTAGAACGCGGTTCTTGTCACTTTCGTAGGCGATATGTGCCATACGAACGAAAGCAAGTGAAGATCCAGAGGGTGAAAAGACAACAGCGTCCGAGGCACCCTCGAGATTGGGAGTGGAAACCACTTTTAGTTCCGGAGAGGTTTCGGTAAATGTCGTCAATGGTACATAGTAAACATCGGACTTGGTTGTGGTAGCTTGATTCAGAGTAATGTCCTTGGCAATGAAAGATAAACCTTTGCTACCGATGTCAAAGCTGTTCGAAATTAGAAAGTTTCCCAGAAAGTAACATGACGTCATTCACTTGCCTGTTTGTAGCACCGAATGGTGGGACGGGCGATTCGAGTCCAGATCCGTTCAAAACATTAATTGGTTCGCTGAGGGTATAGTTACTGCCAGTGGTTGACAAAGCCGCGTACCAAATACTGTTTCTTTGAGGTGTGACGTCTATTCTATGTTAGTGCTGGTTTCAAATAGAATCTTGGGAGTTCCTCACAAGTATCCCAATGCCTCACGAAAATGGTGGTATACGCTCTTCCGGTCGAATAAGGTGTAGGAGCGAGTTCTGAATTGTACAAAGTACCATTAGGTAAAGCTTGGCCACTGAATGCAACACCAAGAGTTCCCTCGCCGATGCTAACTAGCTTGAGGTTGTCTACTGCTCCAGGAACAGAACCTGCTGAGATGGGTCTATAAGAGGGTCAGAATTGAGTCAAGATGCAAACAGGAATCCGTTTTGAGGTTTGCATAGTCTTTTGTATAGTCAAAGACCACATGACGAATGTAATAGAAGACTCACTTCGCACTTGGTGCCGTTGCGTCTCCCACGACGAAACTAGTGGATCCATCATCCTCCGAAATGAACCAAATAATCTTACTTCCATCGCCTAACCAATTGGCATTGCTGATGCCACTAGAATTGCTGAATAGCCAAGATGTACCATTCGCAAGGTTCATCACACGGAGCTCATGAGAATTGTGATGCTCTTCAAATGAATAGGTGGCCACAGTGTAAAGTGCAAGCGTTCCATCTGCATTTGGGATTGCCGACCCTCGACGAGGAGAACTCAACATCGCTTGGGGAGTGAATGTCGGTGTAGAGTTGGTGTAGGTAGCATTAGCTACCCCTGCGGATAGCAGTGCCACCAGCGACAAAGAGCTCCTCATCGTAAAGAGCATGATGAGCGAGTATCCTAGCGGACTGTGAGGAAGGGCGGTAAGAGGAGGGTGACTTCGAGACACAACTTATCGGGGAAAAGCCGAGCTTTTATATATTTACCATTCATCCCATTGAGCCCCGCTAATTGGATTGTTATCTCGGGCTATGATGTCGTGCTAGAGCGCCAAGCTCCATAACAGTAAACATATTGACAGTTTACATCCGAAGTTTAAACAAGGCAATATGCATTCACTCAACGGTAAAGTCACACAAAGTGCGGAGAAAGCTTTCCCCTGTATTGTTCGTCTGTGGTCTTATCGTAATACCAGGATTCTATAAGGTAATTCCAATTGTTTGGGAAGATCGGCCAGGGACACACCAGTTTGAATTGGCTCATTCATCTGAGTTTACTCGTATCGATCCAAATGCTCAACCATGAGGCTGGGCCAATCTAAACCTGAGGGGAAGGTCCGTAAAAATGCTATCGGAAGCTATCATCCAAAAGGAAGGTGGGAGTGTCTTGGCTATAAGCGCCAAGCGCCAAGACACGCCACGATAAATTGTTGGTGGGAATTGAGATAGAAATGAATGTAAATCACGTGATTTGCCTCCAAAAGCACGAGAGCTCTGCGATTGCGTGCCCAAAATTGTGAGCCGTTCTCCCGTTCTAATAAGCCGACCTATACTTCGAGCGAGTCTTGATCCGTGTTCCGAAATGGATGATATGATGAGTATGAATTTTAACAAGGGGTCAATGCAAGTGATCAACAATCTGAAAGCTACAACGATCTTAACGGATACCCAGACACGACTTCAAGCGAGAAATGGAAGTCTAAAGACCCGAAAGTTTGGAAGAAAAGTGATTTTCTCCTTTTAGAGATTGCAATGGCACCTATTAATCACCAGTAGTGGGTATTTAATCGACTCAAAGAAAGGCGTATTATGTGTGCTCAAATAATGCATTCATAGCCATGGGCCAGAAACCGATCGGCACACCTTGTACCTTTCAGAAAATATAGTATACATGCTACATACGCTTGTAGTACAGTGGAGAGAGTTTATTTAATTCGCCATTACCATCCCAGTTCATTATGCCTTTTTATTTTTATCCTCAAATGCCTCAGTGACATTTAATCCCAATCCCTCCGAATCCAAATACATCTTGTTGCGTCCACCAGCCTCTTGAATGATTTGAGCGATTGCTCTAGCATTCTCGATTCTCTTCAAATCGACGTATGATCGACTCTTCTTGATAGCATCACCAATCAACTCCGCAGATCGTGCTTCTCCCTGGGCCTTAACAATCATAGCTTGCTTCTCTTGACGTGCCTTGTCAACTACGAACGCAGCACGCTGGGCTTCTTGCTGTGCAACTTGCTTGGCCTCTACTGCTGCTGTAAACTCGGGAGAAAATGCGAGATGCTATTCACTCATTAGCATCTGTGTCGTTTTTAGAGTATCTTATAATATCATACCGTTAGGGAAACATCATCAAGCATGATGTTGAACCTAGCTGCTCTCTTCGACAAATTCTCTCTGACTAATCTTGCAACCATCTCACGTTGGGTGATCAACTGACTGGCGTTGAATTGCGCAACTACACTCTTCAAAACTTCATTCACAATAGATGGCAATACTCTCTCATCGTAGTCGGTACCTAAGGTTCGGTAGATTTGAGGAAGGGCATCGATTCGAGGCCTTGAGAGAACACGGCAGGTAATGTTGACCATCTGTAAATCCTTTGTACCGGTGAGGGAGGCGACATTGCGTGGCTTCGCTCGAACATCATAATCTATAGGGGTCTCAAACCATGGGATCTTGATATGTGTACCTGGAAAGCAAAATTGTAATGTTAACCACCACAGTGCGTGAAATAATCGCCTCAGGAAAAAGTAAATACATACCTTCACTGTAGATTTGCTTGCCAACACCGCCCAATCTCGTATATTTGATAGCTCTGTGACCACCGTCAACGTTGAAAAGCGCATTATTTCCAACTACCATGATTCCACCCAGTGCAATAAGTGTAGCCACTCCACCTGCTATTCCCTTTGGTGCCGGTCCTCCGCCACCACTTCTACTTGCTTCATT